ACAAGCAGATCAAGACAAGAGATTCCAGTCTCAATATCTTGTCCAAACCCATCTGGTTCCTCTTTTCCTTCAGCAAGGAGAAATAACCCAGTGTTGATGTTCTCCTGACCACATCTCCATGTTTTTTTAGATGCTGGGCCGTGCTGGGAGGCCCCAGTATGACACCAAAGGAGAAGGCATCCTCATCACATCCCATGGGGAGCTTCAGTATTACCTGTCCCTGCTCAACCAGCAGCTCCCCATCGAAAGTCAAATGGTGTCCAAGCTCCCAGACATGCTGAATGCAGAGACTGTCCTGGGCAACGTCCAGAATGCCAAGGCAAGTGCCAGGCTTGGCTTCTCCCACATCCCTGGGTCCTCTGTTCCACCCAGAGCTGGTGGGAGTTGCAGGAGTTGAAGGATAATCCATGTCAGGGAGACCTTCGTGTTCTCTACAACTCCCTGAGGAGACCGGCTGGGAAGTGTTCATGGGGGTGTTGGTCACAGCAACTGAACATGAACCAGTGTGTGCCCAGGTGGCCAGGAAGGCCACCAGCATTCTGGCTTGTGTCACCAGAGTGTGGCCAGCAGGACAAGGGCAAGGATTGTCCCCCTGTGCTGGGCACTGGTGAGGGAGCACCTCGAGTCCTGGGGTCAGTTTTGGGTCAGAAAGGGGACATGGAGGGGCTGGAGGGTGTCCAGAGAAGGGGAATGGAGCTGGGGAAGGGTCTGGAGAACAAGGAGAAGGGTCTGGAGAACTTGTGAGGAGCAGCTGAAGGAGCTGGGGGTGTCCAGCCTGGAGAGAAGGAGGCTGAGGGGAGACCTTCTGCTCTGCAACTGCCTGAGAGGAGGTTGGAGCCAGGGGGGTCGGGCTCTGCTCCCCAGGAACAAGGGACAGGACAAGAGGGAACGGCCTCAAGTTGTGCCAGGGGAGGTTGAGGTTGGATCTGGGGAACAATTCCTGCCTGGCAAGGGCTGTCAGGGCCTGGCCCAGGCTGCCCAGGGCAGGAGGGGAGTCCCCATCCCTGCAGGGGTTTCCAAGCCCTGGAGATGGTGCTGAGGGACACAAGTTGGCACCTGACTTGATAGAGTTGGATCAATGGTTGGTAGAGTTGGGTCAGTGGTTGTTAGAGTTGGATCAATGGTCAGTAGAGTTGGGTTAATGGTCAGTAGTAGAGTTGGGTCAATGGTCAGTAGTAGAGTTGGGTCAATGGTCAGTAGTAGAGTTAGGTCAATGGTCAGTAGAGTTGGGTCAATGGTGAGTAGAGGTGGATCAATGGTGAGTAGAGGTGGGTCAGTGGTCAGTAGAGGTGGGTAATGGTCAGTAGAGGTGGGGAATGGTCAGTAGAGGGGGGGCAATGGTCAGTAGAGTTGGGTCAAAGGTGAGTAGAGGTGGGTCAGTGGTCAGTAGAGGTGGGTAATGGTTGGAGTCGATGATCTTGAAGGACTTCCAGAGCTTCCAAGCTCTGGTTTAGTATCGATCCATCAGGATTCAGCCACAAATGTGTCCCACATCCCCTTTCCTTGCCACGGGGTGTCCTCAGCAGCCCTTCCTTTGGTGTTCCCAGGATGCAGTGAACTGGCTGGGCTACACCTACCTGTACATCCGCATGCTGCGCTCGCCCACGCTCTACGGGATCTCCCACGAGGACCTGAAGGGGGATCCCCTGCTGGACCAGCGCCGCCTGGACCTGGTCCACACTGCAGCCCTCATGCTGGACAAGAACAACCTGGTCAAGTATGACAAGAAGACAGGGAACTTCCAGGTGAGGCAGGACCTGGGGTCAAAGCTTAGGGCCATGGAGGTGATGGGAGGGCTGGAGCAGCTCTGCTCTGGAGCCAGGCTGGGAGAGTTGGGGTGTTCAGCCTGGAGAAGAGAAGGCTCCAGGGAGACCTTAGACCCCCTGCCAGTGCCTGGAGGGGCTCCAGGAAAGCTGGGGAGGGACTTGGGACAAGGGCAGGGAGGGATGGGAGCAGGGGGATGGATGACAACTGGAGAGGGAGCTGGAGGTTGGAGATGAGGAGGGAATTCTGTGCTGTGAGGGTGGTGAGAGCCTGGCCCAGGTTGGGCAGGGAAGCTGTGGCTGCCCCATCCCTGGGGGTGTTGAAGGGCAGGTTGGATGGGGCTTGGAGCAACCTGGGCTGGTGGGAGGTGTCCCTACCCATGCAGGGGGTTGGATCTACATGATCTTCCAGGTCACTTCTAACCCAACCCATCCCATGTTTCTATGGTGTGATCTTCATCCTGGCTCTGGTGACCATTTCCTGCTCCCTCCTGAGCCACTTCCCATCCCTGTGGCCTTGCCCTGGCTTTGCAGCCAGTGGGAAAGGGGAGGTTGGGATGTGTGGAATCATGTAGGATGGGAAGAAGAGGCTTTCCAGGGTGATTTACAACCTGGTTCCTGCTCAGCACCTTCTGCCAGTGCCACCTCCTGTGGGGGTCTCTTCCTGCAGCCTCACTGGTGTCCCTCTTGCAGGTGACAGAGCTGGGTCGCATCGCCAGTCATTACTACATCACCAATGAGACCATGCAGACCTACAACCAGCTCCTGAAACCCACCCTGAGTGAAATCGAGTTGTTCCGGGTCTTCTCCCTCTCCTCGGAATTCCGGAATATCACCGTGAGAGAGGTGGGCAGCCAGGAACCCCCCCCAGCTCCTGCAGGGAAAGGTGCCTCCAGAAAGCTCCTCCAGAACTTCCCCCAGGAGGGATCATTCTCATCTCATCTAGGGGTGCTGGTGGCCAACCAGCTGAATATGTGCCCAGGTGGCCAAGAAGGCCACCAGCATCTTGTGCCACCAGAGGGTGGCCAGCAGGAGCAGGGGTCAGCACTGGTGAGGGGGCACCTCGAATCCTGGGGTCAGTTTTGGGTCAGAAAAAGGACATTGAGAGGTTGGAGTGTGTCCAGAGAAGGGCGACTGAGCTGGGGAAGGGTCTGGAGCACAAGGAGAAGGGTCTGGAGAACTTGTGAGGAGCAGCTGAGGGAGCTGGGGGTGTCCAGGCTGGAGAGAAGGAGGCTGAGGGGAGACCTGCTGGCTCTGCAAGGAGGTTGGAGCCAGAGAGGTTGGTCTCTTCTCCCAAAGAACAAGATGGGACAAGAGGAAAGGGCCTCAGGTTGCCCAGGGGAGGTTTAGGTTGGATCTTGGCAACAGTTTCTCCATGGAAAGGGTTGTGAGGCCCTGGCCCAGGCTGCCCAGGGCAGGGGTAGAGTCCCCATCCCTGGAGGGGTTGAAAGAACGTGTGGACATGGCACTTCAGGACATGGTTTAGTGGGCATGGTGGGGTTGGGTGATGGTTGGACTCAATGATCTTAGAGGTCTTTTCCAACCTCAATGATTTCATGATTCTATGATCTCACCTACCTTGGTTTCCTGCAGGAGGAGAAGCTGGAGCTCCAGAAGCTGCTGGAACGAGTTCCCATCCCAGTGAAGGAGAGCATAGAGGAGCCCAGTGCCAAGGTGAGCCTGGCCACCAGGGACCTCCTCTGCCTGGCTTAGGGTACTGATTGTCCTTGGTGGAGAACTGTAAAGGGGGTGATTTCTGTTTTCTTCCCTTGGTGGGACAACATGGGCTGTGTCCAAGATGTTCCAGGAGCTGCAGGTGCTTCTGGCTGAGCGCTCCCTATTGGTGGCTTCCATCCTGCTGTTCTCAGGTTCCTGAGACCTTCTCTCTTCTCCTTCCCCAGATCAATGTGCTCCTCCAGGCCTTCATCTCCCAGCTGAAGCTGGAAGGCTTTGCCCTCATGGCAGACATGGTCTATGTTACCCAGGTGAGTGAAGAAACCTAACTAGGTCCTGTCTCGTCCCCAATCCAAGCATGTCTTGGCCTCAGACAAGTCTTTGCACCTCAGAAGTTAGGTCTGGGGTCATGAATGGCTTTGAAAAGTGAGTACTAAGAAGGTCCAACCCCTGTCAGGATGGGAATGAGGTCCTCATTGGAGTCTCCAGTTGGTCATCAAAATAATTCATCACTCAAGACTAAATCGAAGGTCGAGTTCCCAAGTGTTTGAATCAAGGACTTGGTCCATCTGTAGATGTCAGGGATGAAGGACATTTGAAGTCTTAATACTTATAAGTAGGATGGGGAAGGACTTTCTACCAGGGCCTTTTGTTATAGGACAGGCTGGGAGAGTTGGGGTGTACAGCCTGGAGAAGAGAAGGCTCCAGGGAGACCTTAGAGCAGCTTCCAGTGCCTGAAGGGGCTCCAGGAAAGCTGGGGAGGGGCTTGGGACAAGGGCAGGGAGGGATGGGGGGGATGGATGAAAACTGGATTTGGGAAGGTTTATGTTGAACATGAGGAGGAAATTCTTTGTTGTGAGGGTGGTGAGAGCCTGGCCCAGGTTGGGCAGGGAAGCTGTGGCTGCCCCATCCCTGGGGGTGTTGAAGGGCAGGTTGGATGGGGCTTGGAGCAGCCTGGGCTGGTGGGAGGTGTCCCTGCCCATGGGGGGGTTGGAGCTGGATGATCTTCAGGCTCCTTCCATCCCAAACCACTGTCATTTCATGTGGGTGGGTAGGAAGGAGGGGGTGTGGGCTGTGGGGGTCCCAGCAGGCTCTGAGGGTGCTGTGTGTGTCGCAGTCGGCCGGGCGCCTCATGCGCGCCATCTTCGAGATCGTCCTCAACCGCGGCTGGGCCCAGCTCACTGACAAGACCCTCAACCTCTGCAAGATGATTGACAAACGGATGTGAGTGACATCTCGGGGGGGGGGGGGCCCTGGCTTGGTG